AGCTCTATCTTCAGAGATAAAGGAGGGGATCACATCCATGAAAAAAGAACAGGAGGTTACAAAAAGAGCAGAGTACAAAAGAGAAAGAATTCCTGAAAATTAAAAACTACTGTGAGAGAAATGACATTTTCAGTAAAAGATTTGGAATTTAAATTGATAAAATTGTCTTTAAAGCAGAACAAAGGGAGAGAGATGGAAATAGGAGAGAAAAGATAAGAAAACTAAAACATCCATCAGGGGCATCCAATATCCGAACAATAGCTATTCCAGAAAGAGAGAACAAAGAAAATAGAGGGTTGTTGAAGAAATAATTCTACCCAGCTACACAGGAGGAAGATGGCAAGTTTGAGTCCTGCCAAGAAAGAAAGGAAAAAAAGGAATCTAAAGAAAAATAGATTGGTGGTTGCTTCGGGCTGGTGGGGAACACAGGGAATGGTTGCAGATAGGATGGGGATTGTTTTGGGGGTGCTGGAGGTGTTCCACAATTCCATCATGATAATGGTCCCACACATGTAAATACAGTCGCACTTGATGTGATGACATTTCAGTCGATGGTAGACCGTATATGCAAGTGGTCCCCTAAGATTATAGCCTAGTGACCTGGTAGACGTCTTGGTTTGTTTAAGGGCAGTCTATGGAGTTCACACAATGGTGAGGTCACCTAAGGACAGAATTCTCAGTCCATTAAGCAACTCCTGACTGTATACCAAAAACCACTGAAATGTGTCCTTTGTTGGGTAGACTTTATGGTAAGTTGATTATATCCTTCAGTATTTGGGGGACTATCCCCAGAGACAAAGGACATGAGTTCTTAGGTGGAGGGGATCCACCAGGACTCCAGGCCAGAATAGACCTTCATTAAGACCCATAATTTATATAATTTCAGAATTCCGTAGACACAGAAGTTCCTAAAAGCAAAGCCTCCAAGAAAATAAAAAGTCCACCCACGAAGGCTCGGCGACTCGGTGGCACCATACTTCCTAGTAGCAGCACTTAGCCATCCAGGGGAGAAATGCCTTCAGACTTCCAAGGAACATATTCTTAGCCCCGTAGAGAGTCTGGTATTGGGATAGACTAGAGAATGGTTGAGATCTGTTGGCTGATGCTCCAGTGAATGAGGAATATGCAGAGTTTATTCTAAAAGTCCTTGATGCTATACTTTTTTGTTCCAGCAAGAGCATTATGATGCTGATGTGGATGCTGACGTTCAGCCGCTAGAAGCCTGCAGGCTACAGAGCCCAGGCAGGGGACCCCCTCCACTTCTCAGGGCTGTTTTGTTGTTGTTTTCTAGGGTTTTCACCAACCCACTTGCTATAGTTTGAATCTGCAATGTCTCCCAAATGCCTGTGTGTGAAAGGCTTAGTCCTCACCTTGGCACTGTTGGAAGGTGGTGGAGATTTTTAAGAGATAGGGCCTAGTGGAAACTAATGGTCATTGTGGGTGTGACCTCAAAGGGACTAGTAGGACCCCGGCTGCTTACCCGGGCTCTCTCTGCTTCCCACCGTGAGGTGAATGGCTGGCTCCACCACATGCCCCCACCACAGTGTGCTGCCTCACCACAGGCCCAAAGGCAATGGGGCCAACCAACACAGACTGAACTTTTCTGAAACTTCCAAAACTGTGAGCCAAAACAAACCTTTTCTCTTTATAAGTCAATTATCTCAGGTCTTTGTTACAGTAACGGAAGCTGACTTACATACCAGTGTTCTTTCTCAAGTGTAATATAACTGTGTTAAATTTGGGCATGAGCCTAAAAAAGAAAACTCACAGCCAGCAGCAATATCATGTAGAGTTTAAGAGTTCAGACTTCATATTAAACTAACCTATGTTCAAATCCTGACTGCATGGCTCCTAGCCTTGAACTTGGATCTGGTTACCTAACCAACTGAGATTTAACTTCCTCTTCTGCAAATTGGAGCAAATACTATCTTTTCATTGGTTGTTGTGAGGCTAAGATGAAATGCTATCTGTTTAAGTGGTGGACATGGTTCCTGGTACCAGATAGCACTAATAATAATTATTAAAATTATATTAATAATTATTATTATTAGCTATAAAAATGAAGAGGTCCAACAAAGTGATGTAAGTGATAAATCTGGTGGCTTATAAGTGTCAAAGACTTGGATATTTTCAGAGTTCAATTTTCCCTTAATTATATAAAATACCCTAGGTAAAAAAAAAAATAATAAACCTTCTTTCTTATTTTTCTTTCATCCATACTGAGACACATTTTTCATTCTACTCATATTCTTTTGGGAAAAAGCCTAATAGCTTATATCTCTATCTGTAGCTATTTCTGAAATGCAGCTTCAAGGTTTGAAAGCCTTCTCTTATCTGTTTCTCATTGTTAACATCATACTTATGGTATCTGGAAAAGATTTGAGTTTACTGTTCATAGGTATGATTTGTCTGTACCAGGCATATACATTAAGAGAGGGCAGAGAGAGAAAATAAGTTTGGAGGAGGATTCTATACAATAATAGCAATTCATGCCTTTGGAGTTTGTCCTTGACTACATTGCAATACTGGAAATGTCTCCAGTAAAATATCTGGTTAGCGTTGTGGAGGTAATTCAGGTACAAATATCTGTTGTCAAGAGCTATCTCAATTTGTTTTATATTGCTCTAACAAAATACTTGAGGTTGGGATATTTATTTTTTTAAAAAGAGAGAGGCTCATTTAGCTCATAGTTCTGGAGGCCCAAGAGCATGACTCTGGCATCTGCTCAGCTTCTGGTGCAGGCCTCATGTCAGATGGTGTCACATGAGCAGGTACATGCCCATGAGCAAAACACCAGGGGTCACTATAGCAGGAGCTAATCCAGTCCCTCAAGAATGGAGCCCCTGTGACCTAATTATCTCTCTTTTTTTGCTGGGGGCAGGGCATAGGTATTAGACTGAACTCAGAGACACTCCCACTGAGCCACATCCCCTATTTTGTATTTTACTTAGAGACAGGGTCTCACTGAGTTGCTTAGCGCCTCATCTTTGCTGAGGCTGGCTTTGAACTCTCCATCCTCCTGCCTCAGCCTCCTGAGCTGCTGGGATCACAGGCGTGTACCACCTGGCCACCCAGCCTAATTGTCTCGTAAAGGTCCTACCACGTCTCAACACCACTATGTGGGGAATGAAATTTCAACGTGAGTTTTGGTGGGAACGGACTGTATCCAAACCATATCAGCAGGGAAAACACCCTAACTAAGAGGGGGCCCATGGAAGCCTGTGGCTTTCTGTTAGCTCGGCCCCTGGTACTCGACATAAAAATAAAGCAGATAAAGATTCTGCTTCAGTCAGACTAGAGGCACATCCTGAGATGGTGTCAGGGCATAGCTGTTGTCTTCAGATGTTTGTAGTCAATCAGGCCATAAAGGCTGCAAACAGAGACAGACAAAAGTGGTGAGGTCCTGCTCTCCTAATAGATTCCATGCCATTCCCCTCAGAGCAGGCAGAGAGGCTGCCTCTTGGCTTGCTCGCATGGGCTTGAGACTTAAGTCTGGTTTCTGTGCCGCCCTTTCATTTCCCTCTCAGAAAACAACCCCCAGGCATCACTCCCAGTATCGAGTGATGGTTCTTTTAAAAAAAAATATTTATTTTTTAGTTTTAGGTAGACACAATATCTCTATTTTATTTTTTATGTGGTGCCGAGAGTTGAACCCAGTGCCTCATGCATGCTAGGCAAGTGCGCCACCACTTGAGCCACAATCCCAGCCCTCAAGTGATGATTCTTAAAGGGCAAAGGCACACGCCATAATAGCTCAAAGGAAAATACACACATGCACAAGTGAATAAGGAATTTCCAGGCTAGGACAACGCTGTGCTCAGTAGTGCCAGGAGCTGCCGTGGATGCAGACACCTTCCTGTCCTGATTTCCCTGGGCTCTGACCAATGACTACATTTTGTAGCAAGGCGTGTCTCCAGATATAGGTGTCACCTGCGGGGGTTGAGTTACACTCACCTGTTCCTTTGTAATCCTACCCCTTTGCCCTTTGGGGGATGGAATGTTCCATGGAACCTCCCCTTGTGTATCCCCTATATAAGAATAAAAAACTCTAGTGGCTCTCTCTCTTTCCACGGACCCTTCAGGGGGCAGAGCTGTCTCTGGATTATTGAAGAGGTATTTCTGGGTGGTTGTGTGCTTTATTTGTCATCTTCTTGAGTTATTGGAATGGTCAGATTTTGTGAACCCAGGGTTAGGTCGCCAGCTAGGATAGATGACGACAGTACTGTTGCCTTTCTTCCAGATGAAGCCAAAATGGTCGAACAGCTGGTCAAGGTCACATAATCAGTATGCTTTGGAGCCAGCATTTGAAGTCACATTTCTCGATTAGAAATGACATAACTCTTCCAAGATGCCATGTTGTATCTCCTAAAACAGCAATGATAATAGCAGATATTTATTAAGCGCTTAACTCTGTGCTAGGTCTGGTTGCCAAATCCTTCAACTATTCAATTTTACGGAGGAAGAAACTGGGGCGCAGACGAGTAATGTTTTACTCCTCAAAACAATGGATGGCCGAGGGAAAAGAGGTCATGCTACATCCCAAAGGGGTGTGGTGTCCTCCGGGACTCCACCTGAGTTTTTCTTTTCCTACTCAACTCCAAGATGTTTTGCCAAATCTCTTATTTCCTTTCGGCATCTGAAGGACCCTTTCCACAAACACCTGTTAGATACCCACTCTGGATGCCACCCAGGCTGGGCGGGGCTCTTACAGGGGTCACTGCAGCAAGAGTAGGGCAGAGCGCTCCGTTTGGTGGCCCCCACTCTGTTGGAGAGCCCTCTGTGCCTTCCTTCAGGTGGGGCCTGTGCTCTGCTTCCTGCTGTGTTAAGGTCCCCTTCTGTCCACGCCATCCACAGCCTCAGTGTTTGCCCACATCCTGAATCATCTTGCAGACTTCCATCCTGTGTCCTTTGTTCCAATACCTTCAAAGTGGGGGTCCTAACTTGTTCCATCTCTCTGCAGAAATCACAACTTCTGTTTTCATTGATTTTTTTTTCCTTAGATTCCCTCTAAATCCATGGCCTTCCCTGCTCCCCTGAATTCCAGCGTTCAGAACTGCACCGAGCGGTTTTAGAAGGGTGAGTATTGAACCCCATTTGACTGGGTGAGTTCACCTTCCTCATGGGCTTGATAGGTATCACCATCTTTCAACCTCAGAGAGAATCTCTGCTGAAAACTGGTCACTCCAGTCTCTCTCCAAGCCTGTCTGGGCAATGTGTAATTACCTTTAGCAATTTATAGTTATCTTTTTCTTTTTTTCCTGCTGAATGCTCCACTGCCTTCTGTATTCACTTGTTCATTTAGGAAACTGGTAGCTGGGCCTCACGCTGGGAGTTAGAGGTAACAATGAATAAGACAGCCATGGTCACTGTCCTCCCAGGACTTACAGTTTAGTCAGGGAGGCTGAGCCACACAGAATTAAAGCTCAGGATGAACAGTCTGGTTGTCTAAGAGAGGCAGGAAGGATAAGAAGCATGCACCCTTTACTCCAGGGGGCCGGGGAGGACTTCTAGGAGGAAGCTAGAAATGTAGGGGAAGAGGAAGAGTCGGAGGTTCAGAGGTGCTAGAGGAAGTGGCTCTGGGTAGGGAAGAGGTGAGGGCAGAAAAAGCATTTTACACCCCCACACCCCCACATAGGCCTGGTACAGCCATGAATATTCTGTTTTTTGAAGCAGAACCTTCAAGAGAAGTGTCATAAAAAGAGGCTGCAAAAGTCAGCCAAGGTCCAATCAGGCAAAGCCTCCAGCGCCCAAGGAAGGCACCTGGACTTGATTCCTAGCACTCAGGCGGGAGGGTGGTCATGTGATCGATTTGCATTTTGGAAAGGTCACTGGCTGCTGAGTGAAGGGCCCGAGATGGAGGTAAGGAGGAGACTGTGCTGCTCTATTTTTCTCGTCCAAAGTCACTCTGTCCTCAGTCCCTCTCATCCAAAGTCCTCATCCAAAGTCCTCATCCAAAGTCACTCTGCCTCCACAGAGCAGTGCTTCTGGTCCTTGGGCAGTGTCAAGGCTCAGGTCCTACTGTTCCAGGGCAGGGCAACTCAGGCAGGCCCAGTGCCAGAGACCCTGGGCAGTGTGCGCCGCTCCAGCTGTTGGCTTGTCCTTCACCCCTCCTCTGGCGGGGACTCTAGGGCTCTCCAGGAAACTGCTTGCACTCAACTCTCAGACTCAGAGCCTGTTTCTGGAAAAATGGACCTACGACAGGATCAGGAATGGTCAAAAGGAGCCGACTCCAAGGTGGAGTCCACCCTGGGCCTAGTCGGAGGAAGTCAGTCACTGAGGGCGTGTCCTTGAAGGGTGTATTTTGCAGTGGAAGGTGGGTCTCTGGCACCACCTGGCATGCCGTGGCAAGGCAAGGGTGCGGGCTACACAGGGGCCTCCGGCCTGGATAAGGGCAGGGAGTGTCCTGGCAGGAACAGGCTCTCTGACTTTCTTTTCTCCAATCAGAAAAACTCGTGTAGGTTTTACTTTTTCTTAATGTGACACATAATTGTATGTATTTACAGGGTACAGTATGGTAATTGAGATACATGTAAACAGTGTGTAATGATCCAATCAGAGTAATTAGCACCTCTTTGTACTGGGAATCTTCAAACTCCTCTCTTCTGGTTATTTTGAGATATATAATAAATTGTTTTAAATTATAGTTGCATTGCTAGGATTTATTCCTGTTACCTGACTGATGGTGGTATCTATTATGCAGCCTCTCTGTATCTTTTCTAGCAACCTCTCTTGATTACTCTCTGGGACTTGGGAAGTTAAAGGCCCACAGCAATATTATAATGAAGTGAATGATCCTGGTGAAATTGGATGCTTTATAATGAGCAGGCCACTAACGCCTTGGGGGAAGACCATAAAAGTCACAGGTGACACTCAGAGAGCCTCCTTGTTATAGTTTGGACCTGGAATGTCCCCCAAAGACTCATGTGCTGAAGGCTTGTTCCCCAGTGGGGGCTGTTAGTAGGAGGTGGGGGCCTAGTCAGAGCAAGTCATCACTGGTGGGAGGGCAGGTCCTTGAAGGATGTATTTTGTCCATGGCTCCTCCCTCTCTCCCCCACGAGCGCCTGCCCCCCTCCCTCCCTCTCTCTCTGCTTTCTGACCATGAGCTGAGCAGCTGTCCTTTGCCATGCCCTTCTGCCTTGATGTCCAGCCTCACTACAGGCCCAAAAACAATAGAGCCAAGTGACCTTGGACCCAAACCTCTGAGACTTTGAGCCAAAACAAATCTTTCCTTCTTTAAGTCCTGTATCTCAGGTACTTTGTCACAGCCATGGAGAGCTGACCAACACACACTCCTCCACAGGAAATTAAAGAGACCTTTGTCTCCTGTAGGCAGGAGGTAGGCAGAGTCAGGCCCAGGCCTTCATTGTGAGAGCAGCCCCAGTGCTCCCAAGTGGATTGCATGCTCAGCCCCGGCCAATCCACCGTGCTCAGGGCATGAGCTGGCAAGGGGCCAGAAGCTAAGGACTGAGATGGGGTCACCTGGGTGAACGCCCTTTAGAACCTTAAAGGCTCAGGCCCCTCCCACCCCTGGCCCTGCTGCAGGGGCTCACTTCCCCTTTTGAGAGGCTGTTTGAAGATCATGCAAAATCAGCTTTTCAAGGTGGTGTGCACTCCCGTCAGGATTCGCCTCCACCTCCTCCCCTGGCACCAGCCCAGTATCAAGGGTCAAGTTATAACACCCCCGCTGGGAACCAGACACCTGCGAAGGAAGAAGAGCGGCTGCGGCCAGAAGATGGTGTGTGGGTGTTAATTGGGACCTGAAATGTCCCCAAAGACTCATGTGTTGAAGGTTTGGTCCCCAGTTTGGCGCTACTGAGAAAAGGTGGAGACATGAGGTGGGGCCTGATTGGAAGAAGTGGGTCGTGGGGGGCACCATCTGAAGGGTATATCTTGTCCTCAGCCCTTTCTTCCTCTCTCTCTCTCTGCTTCCCAGCTGCCACCACGAGGTAAGCAGTTTTGCACCCAAAACTCGTCATGCCATGATGTTCTGCCTCACCACAAGTGACGGGCCAGGCAACTGTGGACCAAACTTATGGAGCCAAAATAAATCTTTCCTCTCTTACCTTGATCTCAGGTATTCTTGTCAGAGTGATGGAAAGCTGACTGACACAAAGTGACCAAGGAGGGGGACACAGGGCTGGACTGAAGAGAGTGTGTTGATGTGGAAACTCTGTGTGTGTGTGCTGCATTGGACACCATGGCAAAGATCCCGGAGGAGGTGCGAACAGGGGTCTAGGATGGCCCTTGGAAGCTTGGAGAAGGCAAGGACCCACGTGAAGTGAATATAGACGTCAGAACCACAGTGGCACATGTGAAAGGATCCACAGCTCAAAAGTGGGTACTCCCCAGCAGACTCCCTGCCAGCAGAGACCCCCAACCAAAACCAGTGATGTTTAAGTATGTAGGAAGATAGATGCATTTTAATAGCTCAGAATTAATTTGCTTCTCTTTTTATTTTTTTGGAAAGTGGTTAATTTACAGAAATTATCCATCTTAGTTCACTTGAGGAAAAATGCCCCCATCCATTTTTTTTTTTTCCTGACTCACAACAATTTTGAATGTGAAGTATTTCTGAAAGGAAGTTTTCTTTCCTAAGAGGTTTTAGTAAGCAGATTGTTCAATTTTTCTTTTTCTGAGAAAGCTCTCTGCCACATCTTTCTTGAGAATAAATTTGCTTAATTCTTACCATCCTGGCTGGTGAAAAGATTTACCTTGGATAGCATTGCTGCTTGGTTTTCATGATTCAGTTTTTCTGGCTGGGTCTTGTCATTCCTTTCCTTGTAATTTTCCTTGGTATGCAGTGTGAATCACATGCAAAGCTCTTTTTTTTTAAAAAAAAAATCATTTTCTATTAGTTGGGCTTCTGAGTAATGTTTTTATTTTGGCAGGTGATGTTTAAGACCACATCAAATAATAGTGCCAACACAACACATTGATAATCCATGGGGCACCATTTTAAGGGCTTCCTATCACCAGCTTATTACATCTCCGCTTCAGTCTCATCTATGGAGTTCCCATCCTACAGTTGAAGAAGCTGAAAGATGAAGGAAGATGTCTTAGGCATAAGGTAGATAGATATCATGGTTTAGGTGTAAGGTATTTTCCAAAAGCTCATGTAGGAGATAATGCAAGAATTTTTCAGAGGTAAAATGATTATATCATGAGACTATAACCTAGTCAGTCTATTAATCCACAAATATGGATTCACTGGGCAGTAACTGGAGGCAGGATGTGGCTGGAGGAAGTTGGTCACTAGAGGCATGCCTTTGGGTTTTATGTTTTGTCCCTGGTGAGCATAACGCACTCTCTCTGCTTCCAGATGGCCGTGTCCTGAGCTGCTTTCCTCCACCATGAAGTTGGCCCACCATGAACTGCACTTCTGAAACCATGAGCCAAAATAAACTTTTCCTCTTCTAGGTTATTTATGTCAGGTCTTTTGGTCCCAGTGACACAAAGCTGACTAAAACAGAAGATAAACTGGGGGCTTCATTTCCAGAGCCACCGAAGCCACCTACCCTGCGCTTGAGATGACGGGCAGCTTAGTCTTTCTCCAGGCAGCTCTAGTCAGAGGGGCATGGTGCCAACAGGTCTGAAGGTTTGGGACTTAGAAGTGTCCCAACTTCATTTCCTGCCCCCAACAAATAACCAAGTAGGAAAGGAAATTTAGGTAAACTGAATCTAGTCCCGCCCCGGAAGAAAGTTGGTTTTCATCCTGGGACTCAGGTCCCATCTATAAAACGAGAGTGCAGACCAGGTCGGGGATGGTGTATCGGTGACGTGAGTCAGTTAATGCCCACAGATGTGGTTTGTTTTTAGGCAACTGTGTGCTGGGGTGTTTTGAATTTGAGTTCCTTTCAGAGGGCCAGACTTGGACTCTTCAGCAGGTCTTAAGCAAGTCTGATTTGAACATTGATATGCTCGTCTGGCCCATGTAGGCTTCGAGGTTGCAAATCTGGGGTTAATTTATCTCTGAGTCCAATATCAATTGTGTTTATTGCCCCCTGCCAGAACTGTGCACCAAGGGAATGCAGGATCTAGGAGGGCAGGATGGCAGAGAGAACAGGAGTGATTCTGGTGGCCCTGCGTGTCCTGGATGAGTGGATGCTTGGCTGGCCTTGCTCTGGACTGTCCACTCCAAGGTGCAAAGGAAGACTTCCCTTCCTATTGTCCCCTTGCACCGACTTGTTCCATGCCCAGCTCTGTGACAGACATAATCAGGACTGGTATTATCTCTCAAGCAATATGACATTTCAAAACACCCAGGCATCAGGTGGACTGAGATAATGTCAGGGAAACTCAATAGGGTTCTCTCAGGCCCTAATGAGAAATACAAAGGAACAAATAAGAGAGACTTTCTATAGAGCCTTTCCCTGAGTGCAGGAGGGGCGGGTGGGGGAAGAAGAAACCCATCAGTATTAAGGGCCTTTTTGAGAGGAGCTAGTGTTATCTGTCTGCTGTGGGAGCCAGGACTCCTTTCTTGGTGGATTTCTTCATATGAGCTTAGGAAAAACATTTCCAGCCAAGATGGAATTAGATCTGCAAATGGCAGTGTGCATGTGTCCCCCTGGCAGAAGAGCCCGTAAATGAATTCCGTTCCTTTTGTTTTGGCTCTCAGCTAGAACACCCTGTCTAAATTAATGTTTTTAACAGCATTACTTAAGCCCTACCAACATTTTACAAAGATCTCCTTAAGGTCGGAACATTTTTAATTGTTCATTTCCACAAAACTTCTCTGGCTCCCAGCAGGATGAAGACATGTGAAGGGAAGCAGAATCTTTCAAGATAGAACACATGAGCTGATGTCTTTAAAAAGTTATTACATATTTTTACATTATTGTGACATAAAGTACTTAAGAAACCAAGGCTCCTTGATAAGCTGCTTTATTCTTTTTTTATAAACCATGTAGCTGTGAGCCTTATGGCTTGTACGTACATAGAAGGCACTCAGCGAATGTAAGCTAAATTGGGTTTATCAAATATTTATTAAGTCTTCTACATTTAATTATGTAGTTTTTGCTAGAAGAGGAATCCTACTCTAATAGCTGCATGCCAATGCAGGGTTTGCAGGGTAGACTACTTCCCTTGCTTAATTTATCCCAAATAGCTTGAAAAAAAATATGAAATATGCTGTCATTAACATACGTCATCATGAACTAGACCTGGGCCGATCATTTTTCTTACTTAGTGCAACTTGCGCGTGGTTTACAGTCCAGCTGGCAGAATGCTGGGAGAGATTTTTAAAATAGATTTCTCCTTAATTATCAAACAACGTTAGCCTGATCCTTCACATCCCGGCCATCTCAGACGGAGCTCAAAATAAGTTTGTGAAGAGTGCAAAGCAAGAGAAAAAAAAAAAAAAAAGAGGAAGGAAGAAAAGAAACTCACTGTGTAGCCAACTGCGTAAAGAGGAAATCCATTCCCACTTGTCTGCGTTTGATTGAACCTGCGTGAACTGCCAATGCCACACACCCGGAGGAGCAGGATTAAAGACCTACAGGAGACGTTTTATAGATCTTCTTAGACAGGTGCTTTTCACACCTCTGCAGTTTATCCAAGGCTCACTTCACAGAGACTTGAAGGAAGCTCTGCCCTTCCTAAGGTATAGGAAGTGAAAAAAACCCAGAGTTGAAAAATGAGAGACTCAGGTTCTGACTCAGGATTGTGCAAATGACAGACAGAAGGGAGACGGCAAGTCTCTGCTTATCAAACCCTCTACCCCAGGTACTTACCACGCGCAGGGGAAATCACCTTGGCTCACCCTCTCACTCACTGGTTTACTTGTTGACTCTGGCTGGTTTGGATGGGGTGCCTACCATGTACGAGACTCTCTGTGTGAGAAATCTCTGGCAGGACTGTTTACCTGACTCCCTGCCCTAGAGGGTGATGCACAAGTGTGACCCGAGTGATTACTCTTATTGATCCACCTTATTGATCTTGTGTATTTGGAAGTACAAGGATCCTTAACCAGTGTGCCCTGTCGGCCGACAGACTTTAGCTGAGTGTGAGTCGGTAAACCAATAGGTAGAAATCTCACTTGGACCAAAAATAACTGTGATTACAACTCTTTTTTTAAATCCTTAAATTCAAGCAGGAAATTGCTTTGAACTCAATTGTAGTTCACCCTCATAATCATCTATTGAAGCCCTAACCACCCTTGTGACTGTATTTGGAGGCTGGGCTGTTGGGGACGTTGAGGAGATTAAGTGAGGTGATAAAGGTGGGACCCTTAATTCAACAAGACTGTGTTATTTATTTATTTATTTATTGTTTATTTATTGGATTCCGAGGATTAAACTCAGGGATACTCCACCACTGAGCCATACCTCCAGCTCTATTTTGTATTTTATTTAGAGACAGGGTCTCCCTGTGGTGCTTAGGACCTCCCTTTTACTGAGACTGGCTTTGAACTTGCAATCCTCCGGCCTCAGCCTCCTGAGCCGCTGGTATTACAGGCTTGTGCCACTGCCCCCAGAAGGACTGTGTCTTTAAAAAGAGGAAGAGACAGAGCTCTCCCTCTGCCTCCACCTATGCTTGGAGAAGAGGCCATGTGAGGACACAGACAGACAGTGGCCATCTGCAAGCCAGGAACAGAGCCTTCCCCAAGCATGAGCTTAATCAGCCTCTTGAACTGGGACTTCTAGCCTCCACAACTGTGAGAAATGAATGTCTGGGGTTTAAGCCATTCATTCTATGGTATGTGAATCTCATGTTCTGCAGTTTCAGTAACCAAAATTTTAAATGGAAGATTCCAGAAATAAACAACTCACAAGTTTTAAATGACACACCGTTCTCAGTGGTATGAAATCTCAGTATCCTATTTCATCTTCCCAGGGACCTGCACCATCCCTCTTCCTGTATATCCTGCTTCTGCTGTTCAGGAATGTCTCGTTGTCCAATTAACTGTAACAATGCTTATCTAGAGTTCAGTACTCTCTGTGCTTTCAGGTACCCACTGGAAGTCTCGAAACCTAGTTCCCCATAAATAAGGGAGAACTGCTGTATCTTGTTGTGGGAGCTGGAAGTGACAAACACAAAAACATAGCAAAAGTCCCATAAACTATCTCAACAGGATTATGGCACTTGCCACAATGCCAGGCCCAGAGTGGACATCAGGCATTAGCCCGTGAGTGGTGAAGAGAGAAGCCAGGGACCTCTGCTCTACAAGGTCAAGCTGTGGTCTGGAGAACAGGACCTGTTTCTAAGGGATTCAACTCTAGGCTTCTTCCCCCTCTCTGAAAATGCAGTGTTCCTATAATTCAGACCCTTCTGACTTTATGAGAAAACTCTGTAAAGGTGGACAGATGCCCTGAAATAGCTTAAGCTTGAAAAGAAAAAGTAAAAACACTTGATCTTTTCCTTTGCTGCAGTGAGGAGAGAGTGACATGTCAAAAGCACCCAAAATTCTTCACCTATTGTGTTCATGGCACCTGCTCTTCAATGAAGAAGAGGCCTGGTCAGTTCTTTGGTGCTCCAGGGGATATAAGAAATGATCTTTCTGCAGGAAGATCAAGACTTCAAAGGCAGCCTCAGCAAAAGTGCTAAGCAACTCA